CCTCACCTGGTTCCTGGTCTCAGGAAGGAGCAGGTGCTGCCTCTGGTCCAGCCACAGTACGGGTCCCTGGAGGCAAGGCAACTCCTGTGTGCAAACGCATCATCAAAAATGGAACAAAGGCGATCGCATTCTGCTTACTCGCCGCGGAAAGGCAAGGAAAACGGACCAAAACACAAGAGGGCTGCAAACGTGGCTATAAAGGTAACAATGTAGCCGTTAATCTGCTTGGCTACACAATTCCCAAATGTCAAATATGACCCAACTGATTTAAAGGTCGGACTTGCCACGCATGATTTGCCGTATTTGTTTTGTGAGCAGTTGGGGCACCATGCTTTTCTTATTTTGTTGTTATTTATTTGTAGATTGAAATCAAATGCATAGTGTGGGAATTAAGTTCACAGTACGTGAAACGTATCCAATTTTGCTATTGGTTATGAACCTGTCTGGAAATGCAGTGGTGCCTTGACATACTCGCAAGTTTTTCTACATACGAACGAACCGTTGTTTGGGCGTTTTGTTTTTTTTAAATTGGAGATGAGAGCGCTGTAGGGCGCACTCAACTCAACTCGGCTCACTTCACAAGAAGCAGGAGTTTGGCCTCGTGAACAAATCTTCGAAAAAGAGATTTCAAATGATTTAATGCCACACCCCGTTTGCTGTCAAACTAAACTTAAAACAAAGAGAATTGGTACATTTAAAATAACCACAGAAATGTACCTTTAAGTCCACCAGCGTAATGCTAACGCATGATAAGAAACGCCATAGACAGGCTAATAGCAACGATGCAGCACTGTCATATATAATACTTTCTTTAATGGATATTTGAATGCAAATGGTGCCGCAACACATGTAGACACCCAGTATAACAATACTGTTCTGCTTACTTCATGCAACGGGAGTACAGATGGCAACGGGATGTGGGCACACGGACCAGGCAGGACGGGAAGGCCAGCAGCAGAGTGTGGCTGGTGCGGTCCAACGTCAAAGACAAGAGCTGGCGGGCCTGGGGGGAATCCTCACCGCATCTATGGGGAGACAAACGTGAGAGCGAGGAGATGAAAACATCTACAGGTGGGTCACGTGCTAATTTGGAGACGAGAGCAAATCCTCTGCGTCTACTAGGGATCGAACACTTTTTTTTTTTTCGTAGTTGACTTGTAATATGTTGACGATCAAGGCAGTCGATGAACGGAACGACTTGTGTAATGACACGATGTTGGAAAGCCACACAAGTGCTGGTGCAATGGTTGCGCCTGTTGTATGAGGCCTCTGAGACAAACCGTAACTACAGCGTGGCCCAAAACAAAAAAATGAGTTTGAACCCCCGCATCTAATGCGTATTGAAAAGTTGATCTAAGCTTGACGCGGTCAATAATATAATGCTGCAGCAGGGAGTAGCTGATCTCTTAGAAGTGTTGAAGCCTCTGTTTCTAAAATAGAAGCGATCCATGAGATGTGATGGAGCACGATGCCAAGAGGCGTCATCGATCGGATATCAAGGACAAAAAAAAATCTCTTGACTCCAGCTCACCTCTCAGGGTTGAAACCCTCCACCTCCTCCAAGAACACGCTGCTGTGGGACATCGAATCCCCATTGGGAATCATTAGAAACTTGAGAATCGTCCCTCGGGTCGAGCCCAGGAACAAAACTGTGCGGTTCCTGTAGGGTCCGGCGTCGGTGTCCACCACCATTGCTGTCAGCTGGTACCTGCAAAGACATATCGACTGTGAAAGCACATTTACACCGAGCGGCTCGATCAAATCCCTTTTCTTCCCCCAGTGCCATTTAAAGCTTAAATTTTTCATGACATCAAAGTTCTTTCGCCGGAAAGCATTTTGTCACCGTACCGGCCCATGGTCTTGACCACCCAGGGTCTGTGCCCCAGCAGTGGGACTGTCTCGTCCATCAGAGGGTGGGTTTTGACAAAATTTAACACCTCGTCTGGTAGCGTGGTGGAGGAACTAAATCGGGATCCTTGGACTGCACATCCTCCAGGTCTAGGGGAAAACAAAGTAAGGATGCCAGAAAAACATCGATTCTCGTCCCGTCTGCTTGTGTAGTCCAATTGTTGCTGAAGCATACCTGGGTTTCGGAACTGCTTCTTCTGGTACCGGAGTCCAAATGGACTCTGGGGATTTCTGTTCCTTGAAGCGTCCCTCGAAAGCGTGAGCGAGCTGCTGCATGTCAAACACGCACACGGCAGAACCGGGGATGCTGCCGGATGCAGACGAAATAATCCCATTTGAATTACAACATCAGATTTTTTTTTTTTTCCGAGTGCGAGGATAAGAAAGGAGACTTTTTTTGCCATCCCCCTCTCTGATATTGCATTGTGATTTTGCTGTAAGACAACAGAATCATGTAGATATGACCTTGCTGAAGAAAAAAATCGACATACGCTTCTGAGAGCCATCAGGATGTATTTGAGATCTCTCTTTGCATACAAGTTTTTTGTTTTTTAATTAAATTATATCACTTATTATTCTCCAAGTGCTTGTCCGGTCTACAAAAACGTTGACATACATCATCTGGAGCGGTTCCGAATCAATATAAATCGAATGACTTGGAATTATTAAATGTATCGATATGTGCAGATCTCTACAGACATTAGAAGTAGGCTGGAACAAGTTTTGTCCTGACCAACCAATCGAGGTGGAAAAATGTCTGGTCATATCGAGGGCCGGCGCTCTGGCCCTGTGAGAAAAAAATTGGAAGTCGGACTGGCAAAAGAAACACTCCCATCGCTCATGGCATTTTTTTCAGTACTCCTGTGGTTTTCTCTTTTCAGAGCATCTGCTTTGCGTAGATTCGATTCTGCTTTTATTTTCGTAGTATTGTT